TTCAACAAGGGCCAGAGCCCCTCTGGTCTCTCTTCCAGAGCTTCTGGTCTCACGACCAGAGCCTCTGGTTCTTAACTATAAGAAATATTTCAACATAACGGGCCAGAGCCCCTCTGGTCTCTCTTCCAAAGCTTCTGGTCTCACGACCAGAGCCTCTGTTTCTTAACTATAAGAAATATTTCCAACAAGGGGAAGAGTCCCTCTGGTCTCTCTTCCAGAGCTTCTGGTCTCACGACCAGCCTCTGGTTCTTAACTATAAGAAATATTTCAACATCAAGGGCCAGAGCCCCTCTGGTCTCTCTTTCAGAGCTTCTGGTCTCACGACCAGAGCCTCTGTTTCTTAACTATAAGAAATATTTCCAACAAGGGCCAGAGCCCCTCTGTGGTTTCTTCCAGAGCTTCTGTCTAACACAACTTGATACTGAGCTCTCATGTAGAGCTTCTGTATAACGTAACTTGATACAAAGCTCCCATGCAGAGCTTCTGGCTAACATAACCTGATACAGAGCTCTCATGTAGAGCTTCTGTATAATATAACTTGATACAGAGCTCTCATGCAGAGCTTCTGTATAACATTCTTTAAAGTGGTTTTTAACCAGAATGCGATACCGCGTGTTTACCCAATGAAATCTAAACTTTGAAATCGAATTCTAAAACACGAAGTTTGGAACGTGAGCCTTCTAGAGTTCTATACAGGGCCAAAGACACAGCCAAACGTTGCAACAACATAAATTTAGGTTGTGAAGCTGCTTTCTCCACAGCCTGCAAACAGGCAAGTCACAGTTTCCCCATATGAACCAGGCACCGCTTGTACCTCTTCTGCCTCTCCTAATGTTGACAGCAGGCCCCTCCGTATTGCAGGTCTGTTGCCTATTTACAAAACAGGTCCTTCTGGTTTGGACCTGCTTACACACGACCCAACCCCTTAACTACCGCGAATTGACAACTTTCACCCATGTCTTGACTTCTTCCTTCACTTTTGGTCCGACTTTTAAACTTATTTCAACTTTCTATTTTTATTTAATATATATATATATATATTCTTAAAATAAAACAATAATAAGGATAAATTATTTATTCCACAAATTTTTTAGGTTTTACAACTCTCCCCTCCTTCAAGAAATTACGTCCTCAGAATTGAAACTCGTTAAATCAACTGATGATATTTGGCCTTCATCTCTTCTTCTGGTTCCCACGTCATTTCTGCGCCCTTGTGGAATTTCCACTTAATTAATACCAATGGTATACTTTTGTTTCTTAGTCTTTTCGTCTTCTTATCCAATATGTCAATTGGCTCTTCCACATAAGCGAGTTTGTCGTTAACCTCGATGTCTTCCAGATCCAGAACAGTTGACTCGTCAGCTAAACACTTTCTCAAGTTTGACACATGAAAGGTATTGTGAATACTACCTAACTCCTCTGGTAGCTTCAACCTATAAACAACTGCTCCTACTCTTGTAGTTATCTCAAATGGTCCGATATACCTTGGACTTAGCTTACCTTTCTTCCCAAATCTTACGACCCCCTTTCCATGGCGATATTTTCAGCAAGACCTTATCACCTACTTGGAATTCCAAAGGTCGACGTCTTCTATCCGCATAACTCTTTTGTCTATCTTGCACAACCTTTAATCTCTCCCTGATCTGTACTATTTTATCAGATGTCTACTGGACTAACTCGGGTCCAGCTAGTTGTCTTTCTCCAATGTCCGCCCAACAAATTGGAGTTCTACACTTACGACCATATAACGCTTCAAATGGTGCCGCCTTGATGCTCGAATGGTAACTATTGTTACAAGCAAATTCTATCAATGGGAGGTGGTTGTCCCAACTACCTCCAAAGTCAATCACACAAGCTCTCAACATATCTTCTAGCGTTTGTATCGTCCTCTCACTCTGGCCATCAGTTTGAGGATGATATGCAGTACTCATATTCAACCGCGTTCCCATTTCTTGTAGAAAACTTGACCAAAACCTCGAAGTAAACCTAGCATCTCTATCTGAGACAATGGATATCGGCACACCATGTCTCGACACGATCTCATTGACATAAAGTTGGGCCAATCTTTCTAATGTATACTTGTCGCTGATTGGTAAGAAGTGAGCAKATTTCGTTAGTCGGTCCACAATTACCCATATGGCGTCGTGCCCCTTTACCGTCCTTGGAAGTTTGGTGACGAAATCCATCGTGATCATATCCCACTTCCATACTCAGATCTCTATTTGTTGCAACATTCCAGACGGTCTTTGGTGCTCGGTCTTCACTTTCAAGCACGTCAAACACTTCCCCACGTAGCTAGCTACTGCCCTTTTCATGTCAGGCCACCAGCAGCTTTCTTTTATGTTCTTGTACATCTTATTACTACCTGGATGCATAGTGTATTTGGACTTATGTGCTTCATCCATCACTACATTTCTTAGATCTCCCAAACTAGGGATCCAAACCCGATTCCCATGTCTATATATTCCATCTGGTCCAGCTGTCAAAGTCTTAATTTGTCCAATCATTCTCTCCTTTTTGATATTCATTTCGAGTAAAGCTTCCTTTTGAACATCCCGTATTCGGTCTAAAAGCTCCACTTTAACACTCATCCACATGGCTTGAATTCTGATTGCTCCGTTTCTCTCCTTCCTACTAAGTGCATCGGCAACTACATTTGCCTTACTTGGATGATAGTGAATCTCGCAATCATAGTCCTTAAGTAGTTCCATCCATCTTCTTTGTCTCATATTTAGCTCATTTTGATCAAACAAGTACTTAAGGCTCTTATGATCAGTATAGATCATGCACTTCGTACCGTACAAATAGTGTCTCCAGATTTTTAGCGCGAAGACAACAGCTGCTAATTCCATGTCGTGAGTTGGGTATTTCCTCTCGTGTTCTTTCAACTGACGAGACGCATATGCAATGACCTTGCCTYGCTGCATTAGTACACAACCTAAACCCATTTTTGATGCATCGCTATAAACGACAAAATCTTCTACTCCTTTCGATAGTGATAAAACCGGTGCAGTGTTTAGTCTCTCCTTAAGTATCTGAAATGCTTCTTCTTGTTTCGTCCCCCAATCAAACCTAACCAACTTCTTTGTCAGTGTTGTCAAAGGCGTTGCTATTTTGGAGAAATCTTGGATAAACCTTCGGTAATACCCTGCTAGGCCTAGAAAACTTCGGATCTCCGATACTGACTTTGGTGATTCCCAGTTCATCACTGCATCAATCTTAGCCGGATCCACCTTGATCCCTTCCGTGTTGACTACGTGACCGAGAAATTGTATCTCATGCAATCAAAACTCGCATTTTGAGAACTTGGCATACAATTGCTCCTTTGCTAGTAATTCAAGAATCAACCTCAAATGTTGTTCATGCTCCTTCTCATTCTTCGAATAGATCAAAATGTCGTCTATAAAGACTATGGCAAATTGGTCCAAGTACGGTCCACAAACTCGATTCATCAAGTCCATGAATGCCGCAGGTGCGTTTGTTAATCCAAACGGCATTACCACAAATTCGTAGTGTCCGTAACGAGTCCTAAAAGCGGTCTTTGACACGTCCTCTTCTCGAACCTTCAACTGATGGTAACCCGACCTCAAATCGATTTTCAAGAAACAGTTGGCTCCTTGCAACTGATCGAAAAGGTCGTCGATCCTTGGCAGTGGATATCTGTTCTTTATCATGATTTTGTGCAACTCCCGATAATCGATGCACATCCTCATCGTATCGTCTTTCTTATTGACGAATAGAATCGGTGCTCCCCATGGCGACGAGCTTGGTCTGATAAACCCTTTATCTAAGAGTTCTTGCAATTGCTTCATCAGCTCTTGCATTTCCGTTGGGGCTAAACGATAAGGCGCCCTCGCGATTGGTACCGCACCTGGTACCAAATCGATTCGGAACTCTACCTGACGTTCCGGTGGTATTCCTGGTAATTCATCCGAAAATACTTCTGGGTAATCCCTCACCACTGGAACATCATGTATTGCCTTCTTTTCGAGCTTGGTGTCGATGGTGTATGCCAAGTAAGCCACACATCCCTTCCGCAGACACCTATTCGCCTTAACTGCAATGATTAACCCTACACCACACTTCTTTCGATCACCGTAAATATGAATTGTTTCTCCTTCCGGAGTTTGAATCTTGATCATATTCTTATTGCATACTATTTGCGCATGATTGTTGGACAGCCAATCCATCCCCAAGACCATGTCAAAACCCCCTAAGCACATCGGCATAAGCCTAACAGGGAAATCCTTCCCATCTATAACAATTGTGCATTTATCAAATACTTCATCTACCTTACACTGACTACCATCAGCTGTTTCTACTGTGTAGGTTTTGTCTAGCCTACAGGCACTCCTATTCAGATAGTGGCAGAAGGTGGTAGACACAAAACTACCATTTACCCCCAAATCAAATAATACATGTGCATACACATTGTTGATAGGGAACATACCGGATACGACGTCGGGTGTTTCCTTGGCCTCCTCCAAAGTCATGTTGTAAGCTCGGTCGTGTCCCTTAGGTAGCTCCTTCCTATTCTCCGACCTCTTCCCAAATCCGTTATTCACTGTCTTTACGTGGGGTGTCGCGCCATTTCGACGTTTTGGACAGTCAGGTCGTATATGTCCCGTAGCCCCACATTCGTAACAAGTGTTTCCTTCTGGGCACTCTCACGCGGTGTGCCCAGGTTTGTCGCATTTGTAGTACGTCAGGCTCCCCGCTTTGCACTCTCTCTTATGTCTCTTGTCGCATTTGTTACATTGAGGAATAGTGAATCCCTCGCTTCGTGTTTTTGCCAGAGTCGGAGTCCATTTCGGTTTCTTATCGGACTTGTTCGATCCTTCCCATCTCCTCTTTGCATCCCTTCTATCATAATTCTCCCTAGCGTTGTTCTCTTCTGCTACTTTTGCCATCTCTACTGCTTGGACAAACGTGGTCCGCTTGGTCATGTCTACGTACCGTTTGATTTCGATTCTTAAGCTGTCTTTGAAACGTCCTATCTTCCTCTCCTCGGTAGCCACCTGGTAACTGGCGAATCTTGCTTTTTCAAGAAAATCATTAACATATTCTTGAACCGACAACGAGCCTTGCTTTAACCTCAGAAATTATGATTCTAGCTTGTTCACCTCCGATTGTGTGCAGTACTTATCCATCATCATCTTTTTCATTTGCTCCCAAGTCATGGCAGCAATGTCCTCATCTCCTCTAATTGCACACTCAGTCTCCCACCAATGCAATGCATAGTCTACAAAGGTCGTAGCAGCATAGGTCACTTTTTGGTCTTCCGCGCATCTACAAATTTTGAAGCTACTCTGCATCTTGGTTACCCAGTTCATAAGGCCAACTGAGCCCTCTTTTCCCTTAAATTCCTTCGGTCCGGTGCCTTTGAATGTTTTAAAACTGCATCCTTTCCCTTTCATTGTCAATTCAGTTCGCTCGTTGGTGGGCGACTCCACCTTCTCTTTAACCATTACTTCCTCCTTTCCAGTGGCTTGAGTGTTCTCGTGTCGAACACTTTCCTCCTCTCCATCTTCGTTGTCCTTAAATCTGTCACCCAACATTTCTTTAAGCATATTTGGCAATGTATCCCGGAGGACTTGTGCCATCTGCTCAGCCATCATTTCCTTTGTGAGGGGATTTTCCCCTCCCTGGCCTCCTTGACCTCTACCGATAGCTAAATTAGCTTGCATGGATGGAGTCGTACTAGAGCTAGCGGTTCAGACACTTTCGCGACCTCGACTTTGGGCTCGCGTCCGTCCTCGAACTGTGGGTGGGGCTATGCCATTAATACCTCCCCCATTGAGGGCGTTCCTTGTTCATCCACGAGAAACCATACTGACATAATAGGGTATTATCGTTTTAATAAGGGTCTAAGGTCAACATAGCCCATTACATATATATAACATATATGTATAATATAATCACCACGTCTAAGCAAAATACATAATAAAGAATCCACGTCGAAATTTCACAATGTTCAACAATATATATATATATATATATATTGTGTCAAATAACAATCCTGGGGAGAGAGACATTACATAATCCCATTTACTTACAAAAGATGGGATACTACATAATTCTAATCACATCTCTAAATCATGTGAATGCTCAAAAATCTATTGAAGCACTGGACTAGATGAAAATTTGATCAGCTATCTAGTCACGCACAATTAATTCACATATCCAAAAGATCTTTCTCTCTTCCCTCTCTCAAAAGGATTCCATGTCTAAAACTGATCCGCGAGGTAATAAGGGAGATAAGGGTCCCTTAACCACTCCTCAAAAGATGTGGATGACCTGGAGTGCCACAACACACTAGCCTTTGGGCCGTTTTTGATGCATTGGACCCAGTCGGAGAAATACCCCCTCACTACACCGGCATAGTCTATGGTCATCCTCTTATAGAAGTGAACCCTGTCTCTGAATCTAGTGCCTACTGGACGAGCAGCAATTCTTCGCTCCTGTTCAAGTACAACTTTGTCCCAAATCAGTGCATGACGCTGTTCCGACAAATTTGCATTCTCTTCAATTAACTCGTTCAGGGCTCCTCCTTGTTCGACATGTGCCTGCTAAAGATTGTTCAGCCATTCATTCAGTCTAGTGTTGCCATCTAAAGTTCGGTTTAACCTCTCTCTTAGCCTTGTGTTCTCGCCTCTCAAGGTCTCTATAGTCTCCATCATGTCCTCACGTGTAAGGGTGCGGGGCGTGTAGTCTACCGAAGGCTCGGGTGTGGTCCCTCTCCTGATGGGTTCTCGCGATGACACTTCACCAGTGTGGGCCAGACTACCACTTCTGGACCGGGTGCGGGAAACATGTCTGGCGCTGGGGCGGTGACTATCAACAGATCCTCTATTCGGTCCTAGCCCGTAAGGTGTCCTACGTGTTCCGTATTTGCGTCCGCGTCTGTGTCTGATAGACCGGGTGTGAATGGTGTGAACCATGTCTCCTACAATTAAAAGGAACACTAAGTCGAGTAGTAACGTCGGATCAAACCAAATCGCATGATAAGCAGTACTAATACACAATAAGCATGTGCTTCTAACAATCCTCACAGTTTAAGCTTAGAGCATTGGTGCAGCGTTGGCCTGGGTCTTGCACGACTTTTTGGAGGGCTTAATGAACAAGACGTTGGCTTTTTGGAGATGGAGTACAGCTGTAAATGGGCTRGATTTTTAGTAGAAAATCAGATGTACTCTCTAGTTAAACTYATGTACTCTCTAGTTTGCTTTATGTACTTTGTAGTTAAACTTTAGTTATGTATTGTACTTGCTAGTTTCACTTTAGTTGTATTGTAACTAAATGTTGGTAAGCTTAGTCTCCAAGCTTTGTTCTTTTGTCTTCTTGTGCCCATTTTGGGTATAAATAGGAGGCTAAGGTTACCACATTATACACCAATTAATCCATAATACTTTGGATTCTCTCTTTTTCTCCCAACTTTTCTCCCAACTTCTCTTCCTTTTCCTTTAAACCCTCTTCAAGGGTGTTCTTCAAGTTCTTCAAGTTYATCTTCATCTTTTTATTTATTTACTTTCTTGTCTTTTATTTTCCGCTATTTACTTTCTCGTCTTTACATTTCCGTCATTTATTTTACGTTATTTACATTCCGTCATTTATTTTACGCTATTTACATTCTCGTCATTTAYATTCCCGTCATTTACTTTATTGTCATTTACATTTCCGCAATTTATTTTATCGTCATTTACTTTACACAATTTACATTTATGTCTTT